CACCAAACAGGCAAAACTACTGTTTTGCAAGTCTGTTTTTATTTTTATGGTTGTTTTAAGACAGGTTCTCCCTAAGTAGTCCAGACTGACCTTGAAGCTGCTGTGTGGCCTAGGCTGGTATCAAACTCATAATTCTCCTTCCTTAGCTTCCTGAGTCCTGGGATTATAGGCATATATCGCTGTCACCAGACAGTGTCCACAGAGATTCCTGAAGCTGAGATAAGGAACCTAACTCACTCTAAATACAGAATGGGCTTCCGGGTTCACTGGGGGAGTATTCTCAGGACGACGTCAGTAAGAGGCTGCAGAAGGGTTTATTAGGCATAAATTTTAGTAAATACTCAAGTAGAGTGTGGGCCCTGTGGGGTGGTGCCTTACTTACTGGGACTTGAAACATTTATGCTTCTCTTGAGAGGGTGGAAACCTCAGGGAAAGGTGGCCCACCCCTAGAAGGGTACTGGCCCGTATATTACATCGATGAGCCCAATTTCTTGTTTTGTGTTTTTTTTGTTTGTTTGTTACAATGAATAATTTAAACATTCTTTGAATTCTTTCAGCCTGTCCTTTTATCTTAGGAACAGATTTCTGCTCTTTACTTTTTCAGTAAAGCCAATTATGGACTTTTAAGTATACCAAGGAATTTTGAGTGTAATAGGTCTAGAAGGAAAGGAACCTAAAAATAACCAAGGACACAAACACTCTATGGTTCTCTTTGGGTAACTTCAACTGGGTCCCAAAAGGTGCAGTCTTCTTTAAAGTGTAATTAATTAGTTATGATTTCCTTTTCTCCTTTCTACTTCTCTTCCATTTCTTTTGTTTGTTTGTTTGTTTTTTGTTTTTTGAGACAGCGTCTCACTATGTAGTTGAGACTGACCTGGAACTCACTATGTAGCCCAGGGAACTCATAGTGATCCTCCTGCCTCAGCCTCCCTAGTGCTGGGATTACAGGCATGCGCCACCATGCCTGGCACCATTTCTTCTATACTACTTCATCACCATGCCTAGCACACAACTTCTTTTTGAGATGGAGTCTCAGTATGTTGTCCAGTCTGGTCTCAAACTCCTGGGCTCAAGGGATACTCCAGCCTCAGCCTCCTGAGTGAGTAGCTGGAATTATCTGTGCCTGCCACTGTGCCAGGCTGAAACTTTTTATCATTATTGTCACCCCTGAAAAACCTTTGTAGGCACCTGTCTCCCTTACAGAATTTTAATACCACAGATGATCTGTTTATGTCTATATATGTATATACTTTGTACATTAAAAGAATAAGATATTTTGCTCCTCAAGAATAAGACTTTTGGGGCTGGGGATTTAACTCAGTGGTGCCACCACCTGCCTGGCAAGCACAAGGTCCTGAGTTTGATCCCGATACCAAAAATTAAAAAAAAAAAGACTTTTAAGTGGTCTTATAGTGTGGTGAGACACACTACACTGTAATCCCAGGACTGGGGAGGCTGAGGCAAGAGGATCACTGAGAATTCAAGGCCAGCCTGGTCTACATAGTGAGTTCAAGGCTAGCTTGAACTACATAGTGAGATCTAGTCTCAAAAAAAAAAAAGAAAAAAAAAGAAAAAAAATTTTTTTTCTGGGAACAGTGGCGCAGGTCTGTAATCTCAATGCTGTGGGAGGCTGAGGGAGGATTCCAAATTCAAGCTCAGCTTGGGCAATATAGTAGGACCCTGTCTCAAAATTTAAAAGGGGGTTGGGAATGTAGCTCAGTGCAAAGAAGTTGGGTTCAGTCCCCTATACTAAAAGAGAAAAAGAATAAGACTTGTTTTTCCTCCACTAGTAGTGTATGGGTTAAACAATGATGCATGAATAATATAGCTTCCCATGTTACCTTCAGGTTCAGGATATTCTAGTTATGCAAAAGCTAATGTTTTGTACATATGATACTTATATTTGTCACTGTAAACTAATAGATTCTGTTCATATGGCAATTGAATTTCTCATATATGAAATGAATTAATTTACATATGAACTTCGTTAGTGTGAATCTGCTTCTAAGTAATAGTCATTTAGGGCTGGAGATTTAGCCCAGAGGTTCTGCTGCCTACCTTGCAAGTGCAAGGTCCCAAATTCAATCCCTGGTACCAAAAAAAAAAAAAAAAAAAAAAAGTGATTTCTCAGTGTGTGAACATTTTGGGTTTCTAAGCCTATGAAACAGCCTGGAAGACCTTCTGCAAATCAACCTACATAAATACCTTTTAAATTGAAACTTCTAGAGCATTCTTATGGGCTGGAGATGTGGCTCAGTGGTAGAGCACTTGCCTGGCATGTGTGAGTCCCTGGGTTCAATCCCCAATACTATAAAATGAAAGCATTCTTATGTGTTCATTCCTTTATTTTTTAAATACTTGTTGTGCCTTATTAAAGGCAAAGACTTTGCTAGGTGCTAGAAAATAAAAGTTTAAAAAAATAGTCTTCCTTCAGCTGGGCATGGTGGTATATATCTGTAATCCCAGCCCTCAGGAGGCTGAAGCAGGAGGAATGTGTGTTCAAGGCAACCCTAGGCTATGTAGTGAGACCCTGTCTCAAAACAGATACTGTATGATATAAATAGTTACATACAAAATGATATGTGCTAGAGACATTGTAGAGATGTACTAGAGACATTGAGGCTTCCAAGAAGGGACTGGTCAGTTCTAGGTAAAATTAAGGGTTAAGTCTCTGAGAAGTAAAGAGCTAAGTGTTAGAGAAGAGTGGGAAGGAAATTCCAAGCAGAAATAACAAAAAAATTTTTTTTTTTTTTTTGCTACTGGGAATCAAACTCATGACCTTGTGCTTGCGAGGCAGGTGCAGTGTCACTGTGCTAAATCCTCAGCCCAGAAATAACAAATTAGGAAAGATCCAGCAGCATGAAATAGAACAGACACTTTGGCCTTTGATTTTTGTGTAGTTTTTTTCCTCCCTCTTATTTTATTTTTTTAGACAAAGCCTTGCTAAGTTGCCAAAATGCTCATGCTGGGCTCAAGCTTTTCAATCTTTCTGGCTCATTTCTCCCAGAGTGCTGGGATTCCAGGCATGTACCACCACACTTGGACCCAGTTTGGGCTTTGTGACTGAAATACAGAAGGCAAGAAAGAGGAGTCACTATAGGTGGAGTAGCACAGAGAGAAGTCAGATCATTACTGTGAGCTCAAGGCCAGCCTGGGCTACATAGAGGGTAAGACCTTGTCTCAAAAAACAAACAAACAAACAAAAAACAAAGGGGGCTTTTTCATTTTACTTCAAAAGTTATGGGGAGGGAGAGAGTGAAACTTTTTGAATTGGGACATAGTTCTAAACCTGAGCTTTAAAACTACCTCTGCCTGTCTGGTGTCATGGTACACATCCCAGCTACTCAGGAGGTGGGAGAATTGCAAGTTTGAAGCCGTCCTGAAAAAAATTTAAAAGTCTAAGATTCCCAAGGGAGAATGTACAATAATGGGCACTCTTTACTGCTGGCAGGGCTGTATTTGGTACAATCATTTTGGAGAGCCATTTTGCAATCTAGCAAAGTGGAATAGCAAAGTCCTCTACTCATTGGCTTATGTCCTAGATATACACATATCCAAGCATATTGATTGTAGAAGAAATAAACTATCTGATATTATAATAAGTACAGTTTAAGAGACTCTAATATCAGTGTCTCTTTCATAAAATTTTTGATTCTTCTAGCAAGCAATAAGGATTTTATCCTATAGCCCACACTGGTTATTCTTTTCCGTTATGTCAGGGAGCAGCAGCGACCTGGATACATATTTGGAGAGTCTTCTGAGTATTTTCTCTACACCCTCCTTTCCCTGTGGGGGTTGAACCCAGGGCCTCACACATGCTAGGCAAGTGCTCTACCACTGAAAATCCCCAGCCCTTTTTATTTTGAGACAGGGTTTCACTAAATTGCCTTGGCTAATCTCAGACTTGTAATCCTCCTGCCCCAGCCTCATGAATAGCTGGGATTACAGGAGTGGGCCACTGCACTGGGCTTTGGGCATCATCTTATTCTGTGGAAACCATGACACCAACTGTCTAAATTTACCATTCTCCATCCTATATTGTTTTACTACATGAGACAAAATAGGAAAAAATTTGGCTGTTATGAATTATTTTCTCCCATTGGGCCTGTAATACCAATTACACATTTGTTGCCTTTTCTATGTTAATATGTACTTATGTACACACTGGCTTTTTTAAGAGGGTGCAGTTAGCAACTCCAGGCACTGGGTGGCATAAACTCACAAGAGTCCTATGAAAATACTGCATATAAATTACAGCTCAAGGTGCACCCATAGCTAAAGTGCACCTAATGAAGGAGGGTTAAGTAGAGGAAAAGAGTTTTTGTATTTGAAATTTCAGTGTAGACATGGAACCGAGTTCCCTAGAAATTCAAAATTAGGCAGATTTTTGACATTGGATGATTGGCAAGTCAGGTCATTGAGTGAGGGAAAGAAAAAGGAAAACAGAAAAGTGCTGGAATATGAGGGAGAAGAGATTAAAAAAAAATCTGAGAGAAAAGAATATACTGTAAATCTAGAGAGATGAATTCAGGTGTTAGCCGCACTGAAAGCCGCACCTCTTTGACTTGCATCTCCTTAGTAAGCAGTAGCAGTTTTCATATGAAGATAAAGATTACCTCATTCTCTTCTAGAAAAATCAGTTGTGCTACCCTTAGCTACTTATTTGGTGGTATGATATTATCAACACATAATTCAATATTTTTTTTTAGATAGTCTCATTATGTAATTCAGGCTGGCCTTGAACTCACTGTGTAGCCCCAGGCTGGCCTTCAAACACATAGCAGTCCTCCTGCCTCAGCCTCCCAAGTGCTGGGATTACAGACATGTGCCACCATGTCTGGCCAACACATAATTTTAGTGTTTACTATAAGCATGGTGCTTTGTTGACACAAAGAAATACAGAGGTCTATATATTAATACAGGCACTTAAGTCTTCAAGGGGAAGAACCAGGAAGTATACATTTAAAAAGATAAATAGCAACTCAGAGCATCATGGGAGCCATTGTGTGGACTCAGCAAATGGAATATCCTCCTGGGAGAGGGAGACATGGAGGAGACCATAGAATGCTCAACATGTTCAGAGTTAAATAATTTCTGGCCCCTAGTCACAAGTATATATAACATCTCTTCCTTGGAAAATGGTTGAGCATAAACATGAGAAAATTGCTCTATCAGAATCTGCTGGGCAATGTTTAAGAGAGTCCAAAATAGGAAAGTTTATGTAGGGGAGAATGATTAGGGTTCATGCCACCCCTAAACCCTAGGAGTATAGAAAAGGAAGGATGTTAATGGCTTGCTTAGGCCTTTCAGAAATCCACAATCCTAGATTGCTTTGATTTTTGAGATCACAGCTATATTTAAAGAAAAGAAAAACTGCAAAACAGTTATAAAGATGTTGTATATAGTGTTTATATTTAACAAAGTAATGTTAACACACACACAAGCCAAGCATAGTGGTGCATGCCTGTAAGTCCAGCACTCGGGAGGCTGAGGCAGGAGGATTGCCATGAGTTCACAGCCAGCCTGGGCTAATAGAAAGTTCAAGACAAGTCTGAATAACAGAGCAAGAGCCTGTAAAAAAAAACAAAGTATTAGGATGAGCCAGGCATATATTTGTGGTGCATGCCTGTAGTCCCAGCACTCTAGGAAGCTGAGGCAGGAAGATTACACAAATTTTAGCCCAACCTGGGCAACTTACGAATTTAACAAAGTCCTGCCTCCAGAATAAATAAATAGGGCTGAGGATGTAGGTCAATGCAAAGGGCCTAAGTACAATTTCCAGTATTGCAAAAATAAAACTATTGAGGTGATACATATCCTTCAAAAAAGTAGAAGAAGGTACCACTTTCCTTCTAAAACTTGAAAATAAATAAATACAACTTTTAAAATGTGCCAATTGGAAATATGCTAGTAATATATTATCTAAAATAGATTGGGGCCAGGGATTTAGATCCGTGGTTCTGCCACCTGTCTCGCAAGCTCAAGGACCCAAGTTCAATCCCAGTACCAAAAAAAGGGGTGGTGGTGGTTAGATTACAAATAGTATGAAGAGCCAGGAGTGTTGGCACAAGCCAAAAATCTCATCTCTCTGGAAAACTGAGGCAGGAAGATTGCAAGTTTGAGCCCAGCCTGGGCAACTTAGCAAGACCATGATGTAAAGCAGAAAATTTTAAATAGAACTGGGGGTGCAGCTCAGTGAAAAGCCCCTGGGTTTAATTTACACACACACACACACACACACACACACACACAAACACACACAAATTTAAAGTTATGCAAGCTATATATCTTTTTATCATACGTATATATATTTATAATGTCTGTAGAAAGGCATATATGTGTTAACAGTGAAAAGTGGTTATCCCTGGGGGGAGGGATTAGATAAAGATTAATTTTTCCATTCCTTCATACTTTTCATTTTAAAAATTTATAAGGAAAATGTTTTAATTATCAGAAAAATAAAATATCATAATGCAATGAGGAAGAATTTGCAATAGAAACCTAGTACTTTGTAGAGGAATAACTGTAGTAACTGTGTTTAAGAACTGTAGCGTAGAAACAGTGTTTAATCGAGTTGCATCTATAATAGCAACATCAAAAATTGTGGCACTGAAGCAGTCTGCAGATTAAAGTCCACATCCCAAAGACCACATAGGAGTTCTCCCTTTTCCTTTGCCATCTCTTAGTTTTCACAAACCTCCACTGATGAGGAAATAGAGGATTCAAAGTTGTTAACTGATTCCAGAGTTAGAAAACCTTTTCCAGGGGAAACAGTTATCCCCAAAGTGAGTGAGTTTCTATAAAAAACATCAGTACAGATGTTACCCAAATTATACTTTTGCAGAACTGATGAACACAGACTTTGCCACAGCTTTTGTCTTCTGGGAAGTACCATGTTTCAAATTAAGGGACAATTTGTGGTGGATAATGGGGGGAAAGGTGGGTTGAATATAGATCCTCTAAGAATCTAACGCTTTTAAGCATCTTCTCTGTGGTCCTGGGAAAGAGTAGGCATCTTTCCACCTCCATTTTATGGTAAAACAGAATAACAAATGGCAGAATAAACTTGAGGTAATGTTGTGTCATTGTAAGGGTGCAAATATAATACACAGTACTCACTTGAGGCTACCCAGTGTTCTGTCCTCTCTCTCAGATATGTGTTCAGAGTGTGCACTGTGGAACTTCAGAGGTGTTTTTTGTTTGTTTGTTTTTTGAGACAAGGTCTAACTCTGTAGCTCAGGCTGGCCTCGAACTTGTGGTGATCCTCCTGCCTCCTTCTCCCAAGTGCTGGGATTATTGGCATGCGCCACCATGCCTGCCTTAGAGATTCTTTAGTGCTTCCTTGAAATCTGTCATCATCATTTATGCTTTGTGTCTATTCTTTCTCTTCCAGGCTCAGTTTGATTTCCTGCTAGCAGAGTTTTGAGAATCACTGTTTTAGATGGTACTTGAAAGAAGGGCACAATTTGTGCATGGTTTCTACAAGAAAATAGAATTACTTAGGCTTATTTCACCAAAATAAAGTGGTTTAAGAATGTTTGGAAAAGCATCAAGGTGACATCCTGCCTTTTTCCTTTTCACCAAAGCACTGCTTCAAGATCAGCTGTTTCCACCTTCTCAGCAGACTCTTAGTTAGGCAGATTAGACTCTTCATGTGCCTTATGACAAGAGTCATCATCATAATCATTTCACTCTGGAATCCTGGAGCTCCAAACTACGCAGCTCACAGTTAAAATAGGGCATGATATTAGACCCGCCATAAGAACTCTGGATTCTCAGGAGACTTCACTAGAGTGTTGTCTGCAGCCCTGACCCCTTAGTGATGAGTTCTGGGGAGGACTTTAGAATGCTTAGGGTTGGGTTCTTATCCCCAGTCTGTCAGTGGCTATGTATGGGATGGCAGAGGCTAAATACTAAAACCCTACAAACGTTAGCCTGGGGGAGCAGGTGCCCCACATAAACTAGGTGACAGCCATAAAGTGAAGGCAGCTATGAGCATGAAGTCGCCTGTGAGGGTAGCAGAGAAGTTGGGATGTGTTACAGTACCAGCTGCCTTGTCCACTTTTCAGAGGCTGTGTTTAGGCCTGCTGTCAGTGCAGTAAGGTCTGTTCATAATGTTTGGAGGAAGGCTTTTTGTTTTCATTTGATGAAATGGAAAGACAACCATTTTCATGGATATACAAAGTTAATCACAGAGGCTTGTGGCAGTGTCAGTTGCAGTGGTATGAAGGTAACTTCCCAGCCCAGGCTCTTCCTTTATTGCTCTGGCATTACTGATTTTAGTGCCTGGATGAAGACACCAGTGTTAACATTGGCAGGACTCTTCACCAGGCTCTGTCACAGCGGTAGAGCACTTGTGTAGCATGCACAAGGCACTGGGTTCAATCCCCAGCACTACCACTGGAAAAAAAAAAGTTTAACTGAGCATGTTGTCGCATGCTTGTAATCCTTGCCCTCTGGGAGGTTGAGGTAGGGGAATCACAAGTTCAAGTCTGGCATGGGAGATTTAGCAAGACTTGGTCTTAAAATTAAAAAGGGCTAAGAATGTAACTCAGTGCAGAGGCTCTGGGTTTAATCCCCAGTACCACATACAAAAAGAGAATCTTACCATATTAATTAATATTAAGGAGAAGGCAGTGTATTTGTTCGATGGCTGAGGCAGAGCAAAACTTTTCAGAATTATGTCTGGTGGATTATAGTGGACTCTGTGGTTTTGAGTTTGATGAATTAGGAGCATCTTGTCCAACCTGCAGAGTGAAAGGAAATATGAATGACACCAAGGATGAAAATTAACATTTCTTCATATAACAACAAAGGAGTTGCTAAACAAAACCCAGCATCACTCAAGTATTACTTCATTTTACCTCTTTGTTATCCAATACTTAACATTGAGAAAATACAATCAAGGTACATACAAGAATAAAAATCTACAATGAGATGGAACCTATAACTCACCAGCAAAGTGCCCACTGATCCCTTGTTTTCCTATTTGCTTTGAATAGAAAAGGCCCTGAGTACAGTATGTATGGCAGGATTAGATTGATTCTACCTCATTTTTTAATCAAGCCCCCAAAATCTCATTATATTTTGAAAAAGCCAGAGATTTTTGGAAGTGAGCAAATATTTCTGATATTGTTATTAGTAGTGGTATGAAAACCTGGGTAGAGAGAGCATCATACTTGTTATGTGCACTTGATAAAGAATTAAAGAGTAGCAGTATGTGTGCTATCCTAGACTAGGTAATATTTTTATTGTATTGGGGATCCCCTGTATGATCTAATCTTTGAGATCCATTCTAAATGTTTTATTCTAGAAAAGTAGATATCTGTTTGTTTGTTTTGAAACAATGTCTTCTTATGTTGCCCAGGGTGGTCTTGAACTTGAAACTTGTACAGTCCATCTACCTTAGCCTTCCAAATAGGCTGGGATTATAGGTCACACCTGAGTGATTTTTTTTTTTTTGATACTGGGGATCGAACTTGGGTCCTTGTGCTTGCAAAGCAGGTGGTGGAACCATTGACCTAAAAATCCCTGGCCCCATGGTGTTAATTTTTAAAGATTGGAAACCTTGTCTCTGTCTTGGTAACTGTTGTAGTTGTTTTAGGTTAGGTACCCAGAAATCTCAGTCTTCAAAGGCTAAGTCCACTTCTGGTGTAAAACTGAATTTTAGCCATCCATGCTGAGCCAGTAATATAGTGTATCTGTTTCAGACAGCATAAAGCACTATTAATTAATATTCTTGTCAGGAAAACCAAAGACAAGAAAGAAAGTTGGTTTGCCAAGTCTTTAAATTCTGTGTTCAAGAGTGATGGTTCCTAGATTTTGCTCTCTGTATATTACCTAAACTGAGCATGGTGGCACATACCTGTATTCCCAGCGTTCTAGGCAGCAAGGATTGCAAGTTCAAGCCCTGCCTGGGCAATGTGGCAATTTAGTGAGACCCTATCTTAAAATAAAAATAAAAGAGCTGGGGATACAGCTTAGTGTGAGGGTCCTGGGCTCAATATCCAGTAAGAAGGAAAGGGAAGGAAGGAAGAAAGGAAAAGAAAAGAAAAGAGTTACCTAGGGACAAGGAAGAACATACAGTATACAATGTGGATTGTAAAGATTTTACAATTTTAGGGACCCTCCTTAATACAATTTTTTTTTTTTTGGTACCAGGGGTCAAACTTGGGTCCTTGTGCTTGTGAGTCAGTGGCACCACTGAGCTAAATCCCCAGCCCTTCTTAATACAGTTTTTAAAAACACAAAATTGGAAAGTCAGGTGTGATGGTACGCACCTGTAATCCCAGCACTCAGGGAGGATGTAGCAAGAGGATCACCATGAGTTCACAGCCAGTCTGGGCTGCATAGTAAGACCCTGTCTCAAAAAACAAAAATAAAAAATTGGATACAAGGCTTTGAGACAGAGTCTATGGGTCCCCAAACTTAAACTTTTCAGTATTATTTTTACAGTAAGTCCACTTCTTTGAGAGCTTGTTAAAAATCTTAAAAATAAGCCAGACACACTAGTGTGGACCTACAGACCCAATTACTTGGGAAGCTGAGGCAGGATCCCACCTCAGAAAAAAAGGTAGATTTTTGGCCCCATTATAGACATTCTGTGGTGTTTTTTTTTCCTGAGACAGGGTCTTGCTAAGTAGTTCATGCTGACCTTGAACTCACTAAGTAACTTGTAATGATCCTCCTGCCTCAGCCTCCCAAGTGCTGGGATTATAGGCATGCACCAACATGCCCCGTTTACCAGCACTTTTATGTTAACCCTTTTTCCTCCAGACAAGTGACATGAAGCATAGAAAACAAGTGACATGAAGCATAGAGAGAACACTTCCCTACTCAGGCAGAGGGGCAGCTGTCCCAGGTTGCTCATCGCCTTTTGTTTGACTTCTCCACAGCTGCTGGCATTGGCACCACCTTCTGGCTCTTTGCCATTGGCTCTGAAAGGAAAAAAATGACCGGTATTAACCATAGTGGCTGGTAAATATCTGTTTATTTTTCAAGCCTCATGTCATTGAAAGGAAACTGTCACTTCTAGAGAAAACATTAGAACTATCTCTCCTACAGAATACTCAAGTACAGCAGAGAAAAGGAAGTCACATTTAGCAAAACCTCCTGTGTGCCAGGTGACTCTCACACAGGATGTCAGTAACCTTTACATCCACATGTGACACAAATATCATAGGTCCCACTTTACAGACAGGCAGAGAGGGTCAAACAACTTTCGGAAAACTACTCAGCTAGTGAATGTGAGCAGCAGTCTGCCCAAACGCCAAAGTCTGTGCTTTCCAAACTGCCTTTGGAACAGTCTTTCTAGATCGAGTTCAAGAATCATACATAAGCAAACTTACAGGACATACGACCTCAAAAATACTGTAATGACAACTCCACTGAGCAGCAGGGTGGCAGCAATCAGAGATTTAACCACAATACTCCATTTCTGCCTCTTCTCTAAATCCTTATCTTTGTCTGTAAGGAGAGAGGGTGGAAGAAGGAGAAAAGAGAATTTGATCAAGGGAGGAGACTGGCCCTTTGATTTGAAGTTCTCCTGGCTCACAGGCAAATAGGGGCTCAGCCTGACTCAGGGGCAGAGACTGAGTCTCTGCTTCAGATCCAGAATCAAGGATGGTTGATGGTTGCACATGATAGGCCCTTCTCTATCCTCTTTTGTAGCTTCTTCCCAATGAGTGACTTCTCTGGATTTGGGATTTTCCATAGTCATGAAGGGCTGATTCTTGCACTGCTTTCTGGGGAAGAAAATGCTTGGGTGCAAGTTCTAAACTTACCCTTCCCTGTCAGCTTTCTCACAGTCCCTTTCCTTTTGCTCTGACACACTGCATGGGGTTAAAATAAATCATCTTTCCCATGCGTCTCTTGGGGTTAAGTGGGGTGCAGGAGGAACAAAGATGAGTTGACTTTGCCTCGAGTCATAAACCAAATGGGACAAATGGTTCCTAAAGCACTTCGTTATTACTAGTCTCATTTTTAGTTTTTTCCTAGCAAGAATTAGGATATAACCCAAACTCAAACTTACTTGTTTTTTTGTTTTGCTTTGTTTTGTTTTTTTTTGAAATGAGGTCTTGCTGTGCAGTACAGGTTGGCACTGAATTCACTGTGTAGCCTAGGATGGCCTCAAATGCACAGAGATCCTCCTGCCTCTGTCTCCTGAGTGCTGGGATTACAAACATGCACCACCACTCTCAGCTCAAACTCATGTTTTACAGAATTTGAATCCTTGCCAATTTAGGGAAAGTTGTTTCCAAAAACTGTGAAGATGAAAATATGCACTTGATTGGTGTCATCACTGTTACAAGTGCTTAGCATTTAAATGTTATCTAGGCATGCAGTAGCTGAAACTACCTACCACATAGATATGACATAATCTGTCCCCAAATCCAGCCATGATTTCACTTGTGTAAAGGATCATTAATGGTGTCAAAATACAAACATTTCTCAGAACTTTATAGAGAAGGTAATTTTTTTCATAACAAGATGAAATTATTCTCTCTTTTGCAGTAACAGGAATTGAATGCAGGGCCTTTACTAGCTAGCCCTTATTATTTATCTATATATTTTTTCCTGGTACTGGGGATTAGACTCAGGACCTTGTGCTCACAAGGTAAGTGTGGCACCGCTGAGCTAAATGCCTGGCCCTATCTATTTTTTTTTTATTCTAGTTTGAGATAAGGTCTCACTAAGTTGTCCAGGAAGGACTAGAACTTGTGATCTGCCTGCCTCAGCCTCCCAAAGTGCTGGGATTACAGGTGTTAGCCCCTGTGCCCAGCCTAATTTTCTAATGCAAACTGTAGTTCAACCTCTAGGAAAATCCTAGGAGACCTGACTAATGTTGGGAATAAAAATGTTTTTTTCTGTTTGTTTGTTTGTTTTTTTAACCCATACTTATTCTGTACCTTGTGTCAGAGGCCTAGAAACATCACCAGTACTTGTAGTTTTTGCTCCTTCGTTATTCCTAGAAGTTGTAGAGATGGTAGTGATAGATAGGGTCTCTGATGAACTCCCCATCACTGGGCAGACCTTACAGTGGGACAGCCCTGGCAAAAAAGCTATAAAATAAGAAAGAATGTAAGGACAACTTTAGAAGAAAATTTTATCCTACTTTGATTTTAACATGACAAAAGCCCAGTTCTAATATATATATACACACACACACACATATGATATATATGATATATGATATATATATGATATATATTACATATATGTGATATAT